CGGTTCCCAATTGCGAAGATCGATGCTCATGCTGTTGATCACTGGATTATCTTGTCCAGACTCGATTATTTACAGATCGCCGATATATAGCTGGAATATTGCTTGGTGTGGCGACAAACACTCAAACAACGCCATGGCTTGTTGTGTTGGATCTTCGTTTGTAACCAAACATCAGCATCACGGAAAATAAACGCTAAACTGAAAAGCAATTCGCCAGCAGCAGGTAAAACAGCCAGACTCACGTTCACATAACCGTATGCTGTGTCACACATCACGAGTAGGAAGTGTAACAAAGTGCAAAATGGGCCTTGATTCTTCCGCCGGCGTCCCAAACCTTTGCTTGTCTTTTTAATGAAATTAAAACAATTCTACGATGAATTAGTGGAACGTTTTTGTCTGGTCGCGCGTCCAAATGCCCTGTTTTGTATTCAGGCTGTTGGAAAGTCATCAGCAGAAGGAGCTATTGCAGACTCTCGACTATCATTTGGAGCGCTAATTGATTGGAAGCGTATATTTTACACAAGGCGGCCCTGGGTTAAATAGAATTATGCTATTGATTTTGGTATTTAAACCAACCAGAATGGCCTCCATCTACTAGCGTTTGCTAGAAACCTTGCCTAGTATTGCGAAAATGGTTTACAATGTCTAGAGGGTGTTTCTGAAGAGTTTCGATCGATCAAATGATGGCAGATTCGTTGTAACTAGAACTTTCCACTTTTTAGCCTTTTAAATTTGCAAAGGATTAAAGATTTCTGATGGTCTGAGTTCCTAATGTGCGTTCGGCCCAAAGGTCTTAGGTTCAAAGACAGTTTTCTTAAACATTCTGATGGCATGTTTAGAATTCACTATGTTCTTATTGCGATGGAAATCTAATTTACGGAGGAAGAACTCCCACAGAGTATTGAATAAACTTCAAACAGAAGGCCCCTTTCGCTTCTCATTAGATGGTGGATTTCTAGTAAACACCATTTCATCACCAATAAAAAACACAATTAACCTTACCAGGTTAAATGCAGGTATTGCATATCGTTCGGGCTGATCAAACAGGTCAGCTCTTTAAATTTCTAAAGTGAAGGATATAAAGTTACCACTGGCAATAAAGAGCGTTCAAGTCACAAAATAAATACCACTGGTGCCACAGGAACAGAAACTCCAAGACACGATCGGGCCAAAATGTTCATCTCGATAATGATGCGATTTAAAGGAATGCAGTTCTGTCGAATTTCATTATTTGGAATCTGTTGGGACAGTTACTCGGCATTCTAAAACATTTATTCTCATTAACCACAACCAGTATTAGCAATCCATATTGATGTCTTGCAATGGAATGGTGATCTACAATTGGCTTTGGGCTTAAGGGCTAGCTAGTTATTTGGCTCCAATGACACCATTACTACAATGATATGGTCGTGATACCTTTGAGTGACATTTGACAACGCCATAATTTTGCCATCCTTTTGACAATTCTCACAACAAAATGCCCTAGAACCCAGAAGCAAAGAAAATCCAAGGCGGTTATCCGCCGAATGGACATAACATGCTTGAACACACACTTACGATGTTTCTAGGGATAAAATGGCCCCTGCCACTCTGTGTCAAAATCGGATCAAGAGCAAAAGTGTCAAAAGAGTTGAATAAAACACACACTTACGATGTTTCTAGGGATAAAATGGCCCCTGCCACTCTGTGTCAAAATCGGATCAAGAGCAAAAGTGTCAAAAGAGTTGAATAAAACACACACGTGTGAAACTTTAATATGCTTGACGACGATGAGAGGCTGTAATTGTTTCCCGGCACAGATATACATGACTTTAAATTAACTGAAATTAACTATGATACATGGGAATACATAATGCTCTCACTTCGTATGGAATCAAAATAAACATCGTACGTAAATCTACTAAAAGCACTCGCCGTATTGCTCACAAATTGTGCAGTTATTTATTAAGGGCAGTGCAACATATAACGTGTTTTCAGTTTGTTACACTGACATGATGCAAATGATCTATTGTAAATACTGACTGTATTTGTCGTTATATAATCTTGGAGGTTGTATTTAACTGTGGAGGAGACAAAGCCATTCATTCATTCATTCATTCATTCATTCATCCATTTATTCATTCATTCATAGAATACTTGACAAAACATAAAACACGTCACAATTTAATTCTGGACTCACAAAAGTCCAGAAACTCTCCGCACTGTGGGCACTTTCTGACAAGGGTTTTGACCAAATGGAACATGCAGTTGTTATTAATACATGCCAAGGATGAAAAAATGCACCAAAAAAATGTCGAAAACTTTCAATTTACACTCGCTCGCCCATGGGCCACTGTTCGCCCATGGGCAGGCCCATGGGCGAGCGAGTTGAAATTGACAGTTTTCGAAACATTTTGTTTTCATTTTTTCATCCTTGGCATGTATTTATAACAACTGCATGTTCGATTTGGTCAAATCCCTTGTCAGAAAGTGTCCACAGTGCGTAGAGTTTCTGGACTTTTGTGAGTCCAGAATTAAATTGTGACGTGTTATAACAACATGTGTGATGTTATGCACAAGGTATCCAAAATATAAAACCGACATGTGTGATGTTGTGCACAATGTATCCAAAATATAACACCGACATGTGTGATGTTATCTACAACGTATTGAAAACATAACACCAACATGTGTGATGTTATGCACAAGGTATTCAAAATATAACAGCGACACAACACAACGACATGTGTGATGTTATGCACAAGGTATCCAAAATATAACAGCGACATATGTGATGTTATGTGAAAGGTATTCCAAATATAACAGCGACATATGTGATGTTATGTGAAAGGTATTCCAAATATAACAGCGACATATGTGATGTTATGTGCAAGGTATTCAAAATATAACAGCGATGTGATGTTATGTGTAAGGTATCCAAAATATAACAACGACATGTGTGATGTTATGCACAAGGTATTCAAAATATAACAGCGACATGTGTGATGTTATGCACAAGGTATTCAAAATATAACAGCGACATGTGTGATGTGATGTTATGCACAAGGTATCCAAAATATAACAGCGACATGAGATGTTATGCACAAGGTATTCAAAATATAACAGCGATATGTGATGTTATGCACAAGGTATTCAAAATATAACAGCGACATGTGTGATGTTATGTGCAAGGTATCCAAAATATAACAACGACATGTGTGATGTTGTGCACAAGGTATCCAAAATATAACAGCGACATGTGTGATGTTATGCGCAAGTTATTGAAAATATAACAGTCACATGTATCATGGTTTCTATCAGCGGTATTCAACGCTCTTCTAATTGATGACCGGGTGTGAGATATAGGCTTTTCTATTTGTAAGGGGCTGACTAAATCAATCTGAAAGATCTGTTTACACAAGTGAGCGGGCATCTTATTTTCTCTACTTGAAGGTTATTGGTCTGTATCATATATTATAAACACGTATAAGTATGACTAATTGCTTGTATTAAAATTCGGTGTATGGTGTCATGTTAAAATATATATACTTTCATAATAAAATGTGTGTATAATGCTTTTAAATGTAATGTATTTACAATGTACTTATGTATGTACATATGGTCTCGTCACTATACAGCTTAATGAACTCCATGTGAGTGAGTGAGTTTAGTTTTACGCCGCACTCAGCAATATTCCAGCTATGTGACGGCGGTCTGTAAATAATCGAGTCTGGACCAGACAATCCAGTGATCAACAGCATGAGCATCGATCTGCGCAATTGAGAACCGGAACTCCATGTGAATCCCCGTGAAGGAGTTATGCAACCCTTTTACATCGCACGTCTGTACTACCATCACTGCCCACTGTGACACAGAACAATGTCTCCATGACGTCTATAGATATTTCCCATTGACTTAATAGCAACATTATATCGTTAACATATCAACTAAACCCACACCAGCTATTACATGTCCATGTGTGCATAGTGTGGCCTTAAAGCAGCAATAAGAACAAAAGGAAATGAATACCTTAACGAGTTCCTTGCCAGAGTACGGGAAGCTAAACAGACGAATCCCAGTTCCTCACAAAATACCCATGGTCTCACTCAGTTAAGTCATCATGTTAAAGAGGACAGCATAAAGTATTGACAAATATGGTCAGTTATATTTATTGGATGGATGAACATTTTAAAAACACAAAACACCCAGACAAAATCATCATACCTGTCAGATGATGCAACATGTAATGATGGCAACGGAAACCGCTTCTTAAACTCCGGATTCGGATTTGGTGTCTGATTCGATAATTGTACAAGGATTTGTTTTGTCAGAGGGACAATTTTTAAAATGAAAAAATACATTGCTACGGCGATGATGCTGCCCTTATATCAGTTCATTATAGCTCTCGTCGTAAACGTCGTTTAGTGAACATGGTCAGCGTAGGAGTTTTGACATCGGGTTCCTGAGTTTTGATTCTGAAGATGGTAGTGCTTAAGCATTGAATATTTTTTTATCATGGTGTTCGGAATTTAGTTGTTTAACTACATGACAAACCTCTCCTGGGGGTTGTCGATAATGAGTATTGGATGAATAAGATGGCTGATTGTGTGTCAACTCACACATGCTATCGCTAATTGGTTTCCCTTGTGGATTAATTTGTATTAAGGTACCTTAAAGGACCACACTGTTTTCTGTTGTCACGGTAATGAGATTTATCGCTTGCGAAGATAATTTCTCTCGGGAACGTGTCTCTGTAAAATTTGAAAACTGTCCATAATTTGATAACATAACATGAATCTCTATATGTGTCATTTCTAATATTTCGCTGCCAAACTTGTAGCATGTAGCATTGTCCAGACCAGTTACCATCCAATCCTTGTAACTTAATAACATATCAATTTGTTTTCCGAATGTTATTTTGTTCGGACACCAAAAACACAAATGTGACAATATTGACGCTTGTGAACTGTTGGCCAGCAATGAGAGGTTGTTATTTACATGTTATTGTTGTTTTGTTTCAGATGCCTGTCCACTGACAGATAAGATGGACACTCTATGAGAAGGCTGCCGCCACGTTTCAGTACACTTACCAACTCTACTTGCGTCAAGGTTTGTTGAGTATGTACACATATTATACTTGTGTTAAGACCTACGTATACTATGCAAATGTGTCGATATCTGTCTGAACTTAACGACCCGTGAAGGTCCGGGTTAGAAAGAGCCTTCAGTAACCCATGCTTGTCGTAAGAGGCGACTAACGGGATCGGGTGGTCTGGCTTGGTTGACACGTGTCATCGGTTCCCAATTGCGCAGATCGATGCTCATGCTGTTGCTCACTGGATTGTCTGGTCCAGACTCGATTATTTACAGACCGCCGCCATACAGCCGGAATATTGCTGAGTGCGGCGTAAAACTAAACTCACTCTCTGAACTTAATGCTAGATCATCGGCTACCAGAGGTGTAAAATGTCAATCACCGATGTGTCGAACTTTGATTTCTCGAACCTACGGTTGTCTCGAAGTAAAAGTTTGGTTCCTGCGTATTCCATGGTCAACCAAATTTTGCGGCTGAGTCGAACCTGGTATAAGTCGAAATATATACATAGATCCTTTAGACTTCAACGCAACTGTATTTGACTGTAAATCTCCAATAGGTCTTTGCATGACATTTAGTAGTGATACACATAAGGAAGAGAGTTTTTATGGATGTCGACTTCATTGTTATGACGAACACCACGTTTCGGAGTATATCCTTACTCCTTCATCAGGTGAATGAATGGTATGAGGCAGAGAGCATATTATATATGTACATGTAAGAAACAAAAGTAAAAAGACAACAAAGATGCAGGCTAAACAGTGGAAGCCAACAGCTAACTGATCATGACATTGATGTTGATTGTATTTAAGAAAATACTCTGGTTGCACCCATGCTAGAAGCCTCGCCACCATCCTTAACGTATATAAAACTTTGTACAGAATGTGTCTCTGTATGGAATTTGTCCGGAATGTATTATATGATTGGATGGGTATATTTAGCGCCATTTCAATTGGATCAGTTGGAGATGTCATAACGTATTAGATAATATATAATACCTACTGGGTAAAGTTTGCGCGTCCTGCCGACGAATCCCTACATGACACAATGCGTGAAGCAGATTTCTGAAAATTAAAGACCAGTTCATCAAATGTCCCATGCGACGCACTGCCTCAGTGGAATAAGGTTTGGCAAAGATAGTGTGAACCGTATCACTTCATTTCTACGGAACTGTCGATTGTTCGAACGTCAAGTTGAGCAAAGCTGTGAGGATATACCCGTCTCATCGATTCTGCGAGAGTGGTGGGGTAGCCTAGTGGTTAAAACTTTCGCTCGGTTTGCTGAAGACCCGGGTTCGATTTTCCACATTGGTACAATGCGTGAAGACCATATCTAGTGTCTCCCGCTGTCATATTGCTGGAATATTGCTTCAAGCGGCGTAAAACTAAACTCTCTTACTCACCCATCGATTCTGCCGTTTGTTCAAGCCAGGTGATAGCAGTCAAACTAATAGCCACTGGATCTGCTGTAAGGAGCGTCTGATTCCAGATGTGCCCTAATAGAGTCTATCTGCACCTTGAATTTCATCAATGAGATAAGCCTCATTTTCGCTTCCATCTTCCATTAAACCGACACATTCTATGCAACTGAAATACAAATGGAAGCAGCCTCAAGTCAAATATCGATTTTGTTTTTGTCTTCTATGGCAAATTGGTTTCGTGATTTGACTTATTTCCAAAATTAATGGCTGCTCGTCACATGACATAGTTGGAGCGCAACATGCAAGAAACGTTAATGCATGTAACATTTCACTGCTGACGTACTGATTGAGGGTAATTTCAGCAATTCCGAGGTTAACAGTCCATCGTCATGCTTTAATTTGAACTAAAAGTAATCCACTCGAGATTTGGTTTGGGGCCTGAAAACATATTTCTAACGTGTCCGACATAGAATAATGGAGACAAATGACACAGACATCAATTTCTGTCGAGTTTAGTGGATGGTTCCGAATTGCCCTAAAGCACGATAAAGCAACTATTTACAATAGCCCGAAGTGAATTACATTTATTTTCTCGTATGGTTAAGGTAAATCAATAATAAATAAAATGTGTACCTGTTCAAATATATCCATGATCGACGAACAGCATATAATTGAACATATTCACCTTATCATTTCAGAGACCTGTCCACGAGCAAGCTTTGAATATCCTGTTTCCCGAACACATCGCCATCCAACGGCGATTGATCTATGCAAGGGAGGAAACCCCGATATTATAACATAGCCTAGATGAGAATAGCCATGATTTGTTCGTGTGGTAAGCGGTCTTTGGAAACGCCTCCAATACTGGATGTGGAGAGAATACTACAAGATTATGCTTGGAAAGATTTTAAAGAAAAAAGTGGACCAGTTGAAAAGATATTCCTGCGCAGACGAGATTTCGATGTTGAGGTTCCTATGAACTACTTCCATTTTGAAGACTCTGATACGATTCTAAAAACAAAAGATTCCAAACCAAAAACGAAAGCAGCAGCCGGTCAATCTATTCCAGAAACATCGGTCCTGCAGACACAGTTCAGAAACAACACCAATAAAAGTCAGACGTACAAGTTCAGAATAGAAAGGACAAGGAAGGCCACGATCAGCGTCACATTTCAGAGAGGTTTTTCAATTGGTGGGAAGGCCCAGTTTAAACTTGGGCTCCCGAAGATGATGTCTCAAGGAGGCGATGTTGACATGAGACTGCAAATATCCAAAACGACTGGGGAAACGTTTGACGAAACGCTGACATTTGAGGCCAATAGTGATATCAATGTGGAGGAAAACTGCAACTACACTGCGAATGTGGCCTTCACTGAGAAAGAAATATCAGCTGAGTTCATGGTGCAGACGTTGATGAGGATGCCGACAGGAACAGCGCCTGTGTACATCAGACGAAAACGAGACCATGAACTTTATGCAACAGTTTTTATAAACGACCTCAAAGACGTTTTCGCCGATTATAAAGCTTCCGCAGAAATCATTGACGAGTCTGCTAAGGACGCGAAGGTTGCTCGGTATGCAATCAAGTTCACTACAACTGGAATTGTTGAGGGAATGCGGCTTTCTGGTCAGAAAATATATCTTGACTCTAAGAAGTTAGACAAGGGAGATAAATCTGGCATGGAGGTGCCGGTTGCGAGTCAAAGTGCATCTGCAATGATTGCGGGAGTTGGCGCCGCACATCATTCTGGACTATTTCGAGCTAATTTCCCATCAGACAGTGATGATGCTAAGGAAGACTCTACAGATGGCGCCTCCGTGCCTACATACAGAAGCATCAACAATGGCCAGTCGGAGACACGGATTTTAAAGGCACCTCAGATCCCTACCATCATAACCACAGCTCCAAGCTCTCAGGAAACGTCTCCTCCCTCTGATGCTGGCACTAACACAAGTATGGAGACACAATCGCTTCCTGAGGACAAGAATGAAGACGTTTTTGACAAGACGACACCTTGTTCTTCTGCAACACCTTCTCCAAAACCAAGTCCCGGAAAACTACCCTCTAAGGATACGCATAAGGAAACAGGCAAAGTGCCACTAAAAGAAACAAAGTCTTCGTCAAGAGGATCTAAGGATGAGACTAAAGTCCCCACCCATGAGGTGAAGTCGCCAACGCAGGCTCCAAAGCCAAAGGTGGTGAAGGAAGACAGCTTTGGCAAACACAAAATGGTGAAAGAGGACAGCCTTACCAAAGCTGATGCCACCAAACTTAAAGCAGAACCTCAAAGGGTTAAGCAAGAGCCACAAAAAGTAAAAGATGTCCCAAAGGTGAAACCAGATCCCTCAAAGGTCCAGAATATTAAAATCCTTACAAAACAGACCTCCAACCCTAAAGAGTCCACAGACGCACCAGAGAAGCAAAAGGATGAGAAGTCAAAGGAAGAGAAGTCAAAGGATGAGAAGCCAAAGGAAGAAAAGACAAAAGATGACAAGTCAAAAGATGAAAAACCAAAAGATGAGAAGGTAGTGCTTCGTCGAAGCTTCAAACATGAGACTTTGGAGAGAATGGAAAGGGTGTCATCGCTTTCTGAAAAGCCCAGAATTCTGCCTAAATCTGGGAGTTTACCCAGAGCGAGTGTTCATTCGATTGAACCGCAGAGTTCAGAGGAAGACAGCACAAGCAGTTTAAGCAAACTATCTAAGTGCACTAGTGTCTGATGAGTAGGCATACAATGACAACCCCATAGAACATTTAACGATGGTCACAGTACGTATGTCCTGACAATATTTCTGAATAACCAAGCAGTTAGGAATAGTAAACATGAGCATGCCGGTATCTAATATCTGTAAATACCAACTTTGTTCAATTCTGCTGAGACTTGTTGATACTACATTCACTTCATAGTAAGATCTTCAGGAAAACTAACCTACTTACGAGGACTACTTATCAGGAAAACTGCGACTTTACATTTTGCCAACCACGTGGATTCAAATGTAATAAAAGCATTAACGTCAACCATTGTATCATGACGTCATAAAGACAGAGTGACGTGGGATTTACGTAGAAGAAAGTGCTGCCGACACTTTCTGACAATGGTAGCATTTAAGTGGGCATCCAATGCTCAATAATGTCTGCAAATCTGAAAAAATGCTGTATATTTGCCAACTGATAAACGTGATTCCAATAATATCATTGATCTTAATAGAACTGAATTGTGTGAAGTGTTTTTGTATTTATTATCTTTCATTTATAGTGCGTTGACATGTGACTGCTTCTAGCATGTTAGTGTTCCAGTGTTCTTCTCCTATCTTATATTGAGGACTGGTACACGAAGATGGACGACGGGGCAAGACGGAAATCGTTTTATGCCCAATTCATCAAGCCTTTAATTGTTGCCTAGTCTTGTTAGTTGATATCGCATGGAGAAGAGATCGGAGTCTAATCTTTCCAGTAACATGGCGGACTTGGGTTGAGCCTAAAACACGTTGGTGTATAAGATATATTTTTGCGCATAAGAACACGGATACTAATTGTGATAAAGCACAAGTGATATTCTTATTCTTCGGACATTGTACATAGAGCATTTCGAAGGTTTTATACTTAGTATGTTATCTGTGAGAAACAACTGATGTGATGCATTGCTTTACACAGGAAATGTGTAAATGGTACATTATTAATAGTCACGAAAGTAATTTTTGTTGATATGTTTTATTTGTATTTGCTATGACAAGGTATATCGGATTGACATACTAGATACTTGTGTGTTGATTAGATTAAGGCTTTCATAAGAAAGGTGAATAAAAAATAAATAGGTAACGATTCATGTTTCTAGTATGTATCCCTTTCACGTGGTTCTGTGATTCTTTAATCTGGATTCAAATCAACCCATGTACATGTACATTTGCAAACATGACAACATGTGCAAACGACTTCAACATACTGAATATCAAATAACTAAATAATTACATTGGTCTGACTAAATCAAATTTGCTTGATGAATTACTCTGGGGTTAAGCATCTTTTGCCTTGCGTGCCTTACGAGAAATACAGTGTCCATTAGCCTATCGAAGCCTAGTGTCTAACCTTGCCATTTTGTGCAGTGTTTGAAGTGTATATCGTGGCGACACGCCTTAAAGAACACGAGGTGTGTCCATTATGATGAAACCGTGATATCAAATATTTCGAATGGTGCCCCAAGCTTATTACCATTTCAGACAATCTGGACGATCAAATAACGATAAGATTGGATATTTTATGCCTGACAGACAAACGAAATTATATATTACCACAGTATAGTACTTATTACTGCCGCTTTTAGCTCCTACAATAATTGCGGCAAACAGACTCCTAGGTATCAGGTAACATGGCAATAATTAGAAATGCTCCAGGGATCGTCCAAAATAGCATTACATCTCATAAGCGTTCAGTCAAACGACATAAGAGAAAGAACAGTGACGTTTGCACTCATACTTGGGAGCAGTTTTAAACCACATTGTGCATGTTTGTCAAAATCTGTGAAATACTTACAGAGCAGATTCGACAGGATATAGATGGGGCAATAGCAGCTATCACGTTTTCGGAACCGGATGTTGTATTGGTGATCTCGGTCTGGATTGTCGGCATACAGCGAGATTCCTCTCATATTGTATCAGAGATGAGTAGGTGTGGTAAAGGTATTAACTACGCTTTCAATAGGCCAGATGACACTCGTGTCTCGGGAATATGCCACTTGCGAAATTCATGTTTACTTTTTTCAGCAATTGCTGAAAATTACTTTCGGGGAAACCGTTTGATATTCAATGGTATTCTTCTTCAACGCTACCCTTTTCTGCTGGACGTGCTGGATGTACTGGAAAACGTAACGTAATTTTTTATTACAATGGAATGTTCCTCCCTACGTCAGGGGTGGTGGGGTAGCCTAGTGGTTAAAGCGTTTGCTCGTCACGCCAAAGACCCGGGTTCGAGTCCCCACATGGGTACAATGTGTGAAGCCCATTTCTGGTGTCCCCCGCCATAATATTGCTGGAATATTGCTAAAAGCGGCATAAATATAAGCTCACTTACTCCTTACGTCCAACGTGTCATTGGCGGAAGTCAATATATAGCGTTCGCTTATCACACCAAAGAACATTGTTCAATTCATCAAAAGAGTGCAATGTGGAGCCCATTTCTGATGTCCTGGTCATGACGCGGCGTCATACCGGACTCACACTTTCTCTCACTGTCATAGAAACTTAGTTATCACCTCATTGATCGTGTCATGGCATCGTATAGATTGCACAGTAATCTTTTGAACCACTGCTTTATCGATATCAAAGGTGTTTCGAAAGTATTGCACGAGTGCTTCATTCACTATCTTGATGTAATACGTATATTTCTGATTATTGCCATTTCGTGTCGTTTACTGATGAAATAGGCACGCAAGTCGGTAAAAAGAAAAAAAATATAAATGAATACACCTTATATATGTGATGCTTTGAAAGCAAAGTTAAAGTTGCACTGGACAAACGACGAACGAAAACAACAACTACTACTACAACTACTACAACTACTACCGCTATTACTACTACTACTACAATCGCTATTACTACTACTACAACCGCTAGTAGCTTATTACTACTTCACTACTACTACTACTACTACTACTACTACTACTACTACCACTACTACTACCGCTATTGCTACTACTACTACTACTGCTATAACTACTACTACTACCGCTATTACTACTACTACTTCTACTACCGCCATTACTACTACTACTACTACTACCGCCATTACTACTACTACTACTACCGCTATTACTACTCCTACTACCGCTATTGCTACCCTACTACCGCTATTACTACTACTACTACCGCTATTACTACTACTACTTCATATTATTACTACTACTACTTACTACTACTACTACTACTACTAACTGCATTATATTTACTTACTATAATCACAGTATTATTTACTCACTACTACTTTACTTACTAACTCACTACTTCACATTAATTGATATTTTCACATACTACTAAACATCACATTATAATACACTACTCACATATATACTACTGCCAGCACATTATCACCACATTTACACTACATCACACATTCATTTACACAGCATTACTACTCAAGCACTACTTACATTCACTACTACTTACACACACCACATACTACTTCACACAGATCATGATGTATTCAGAGAAAGACATCTTACACAGACACGACAGACACAGACACAGACAGACAGACAGACAGACATGCAGACATGAGATGACATGACAGACACACACACATACACATGACATGAGAGAGATATAGACAGACATAGACAGACACAGAGATGACAGACACAGAGACAGACACATTACATGGACAGACAGACAGACAGACAGAGACAGACACATAGATTGACAGACATGAGACACGACAGACAGAGAGACAGACATGACAGACAGGACAGACAGAGAAATGACATGAGACATGAGACATGAGACAGACACAGAGAGACACACAGACATGAGAGAGTAGAGATTACAGAGACATGACATGGACACATAGACAGAGGATAGACATGACAGAGACAGACATGAAGGACATAGACAGAGACAGAGGAGGACATATATAGACATACAGACAGACAGAGAGACAGATATGACACAGAGAGAGACACAGAGACATATATGAGGATTAGACATGATGGATGACAGGAGTACATATATATATACAGAGAAAGAGGAGACATGACATAGAGTATGAGGACAGACAGACATGCATGGACAGACATGAATAGATAGAGACAGATGAGACAGAGAGACAGAGAGACACAGAGACAGAGACATAGGACAGACAGACAGACATATATGATGATGACAGAGAGACAGAGAGAGACATGAGACAGAGGAGGAGGACATGACAGTAGGAGGACAGACATAGAGAGAGGAGGAGAGAGGTGATATAGAGACAGAGACAGATGACATGGACATATATGATGGACATAGAATGAGAGGACATGAGCAGAGAGGATGGACATAGAAGGAAGGAAGAAGGACATATATAGACATGATGATATATAGAGACAGAGACATAGAATACTACCAACTATATATTTACTACTACTGCACCACTACTAGACTACAGACACCGCTATTACTAACTTACAGCGACTTTGACCGCTATTGCTACCACTACCACTGCTTCTACTACTACCTCCTGTTACTACTACTACTACTACTACTACTACTACACAAGCATATTACTACTACTACTACCGCCACTACCACTACTGCACTACTACCACCACTTCTACTACTACTTACTACCACTACTACTACATCACTACTCCACCGCCATTACTACTACTCACTACTGCCACTACCACTACCACTACCGCTATTCTGTACTCTACTGCCACTACTATTTCTACTACTACCGCTATTACTACTGGTACTACTACCGCTATTGCTACTACTACTACTACTGCTACTACTATTACTACTACTACTACTACTACCGCTATTGCTACTACTACTACTACCGCTATTGCTACTACTACTACTACTTCTACCGCTACTACTAAGCAATTGCCCCTACAGCTACTAGTTATAATATTAATAATTCTTATAACAAAAATACTAGGTCGCAATTGGCGTGTTTCCTTTCACCATTATATAATGCCAATTAGAAAATGATAATTGCAACATGCTAAATTTGGGATCACATTTTCTCTGTGAAGTACAGAGTCTTATACTTTTCTTAGGTTGAGTCCCATCCGAGATTCAAACCTTCGCTTTCAGAGTCAGACACCTAACCGCCTGCAACTTTCTAAATGACATTCTGTATTCATAGCTTTCGGCCTGGGGGAGCCGTGCCATTTCACACTTGCCAGAGGAGAACTCAGAGGTGATGTAGACTACCAGTTGCCCGACGTCTGACTACCATAGTTGAATATCCCTGAGTTTGTGGGCAAAATAGTTTGAAGTCGATATATAAGAACCCATTGAAACCGTGATTTGTATATATGATATGACATGAT